TGTGTCCTTCCCCAGGTGCTTTCCTGTACTCACTGTGTAGTGTCAGTCTGAGAATTTGGGGGAGAAGGAGGTGCCAGGCCGGACTGGCTTCCGACAACCACCCTCTGGACCTTAGTGTGTACTTCCCAGATTCCAGCCACTTTTTCAATGACTGTCAGAATAGCCCTCTTTTGTGGAGACACAGAAACGGTTTATTATACCTGTTGATGATAATGTGTGTAATATTCTCACCTGGACTGGTCTGAGATGTGTTTCATTCTGGGTATAAATTCTCTTTGCAAATCAAAAAAAAAGTAATCATCTTTTCTAAAATATTTGCCAGGGGGCCAGCAAGGTGGTGTGGTGGTTAAGGGCGCTGGACTCCCACATGGCCATCCATGGTCTGAGTCCTGGACCGGTCAGCTTGCTTTCCCACTTTCCCTCTCTCTCTCACTCTGATGTTCTGTCACTCTGTCCCTCTCTGGTCAAATTTAAAAAACAAAACAAAACTAAGTAAATAAATAAAGTAAGTGAAATCATTCCTTAAAGAACTAAAAAATAAAAAAATTTGCCAGAGGGTATGTGCACTCACCTGATAGCATGGAGGGGGAGAAAGCAGCGTCTAGTGGGGCGTGCTCATGCTGCAGTCTCTTCTCCATTTCTCTGTCCTGTTGGAATTTTGGCCATGCACACATTTGTGCCTGACATGTTTTTAAGCTGTTGGGGCCTGGCAATTGGCCGTGTGAGACCTGGGTGCCTTAGCCACCAGGCCTCGGGGTAGCCCATCTTTTTCTCTCTGTCAGCTACGTCCCAGAGTCTTCTGATTATTCATTTGGCTCAGCAGGTCATGGGTTGCAGCTTGTGGCCCCTGCTAAAAGGAGCCCAGAGGCTTAGGTTAACCATGCTTGTTTCTGTGTTGGATTGGCTTGGTGGTCTGCTTACGGTTGGTTTTGTTTCTAAACAAATACCCTTTTCCTTTCCTTCTTCAGATCAAAGACATCTTAAAGCCAGAAATAATGGAAGAGATTGTGATGGAAACACGCCAGAGGCTGTTAGAGCAGGAGGGATAGGAGCCGCTCCCGAGGACAGGACTGTGTGTCCCTTGCTGGAACAGTTCTTAAAAGTGCAGAATCTAAATTGTCTTTGTGCGCAGCTCTGAAGACCTGGGACACTCGCCTTGGTCTCTGTTGGCAGCCATATGGCTGCTTCGCCCACTGGCCTGCCTTCTGTTCGAGGACAAAGCCTGGGTGGCAGGTGAACAGTGCCTCTGGCCCCTCAGGGGCTAGCTAGTCCCAGCAGTAGGGTGGTTTCTGGTCTCTCAAACACACAGTGTTGCGGTCGAATGGACCTCCGTCCTGGAATAATGTAGAGCATCTTTTGTCCTCCCCTCCCCTTCATCCACCAGACACCATGCCCATGAAATTGCCCCAGTAGAAAACATGGCACCCCTCTCCCCTGGAAGATCTGCTTTGGCCTCTCTACCCACCTCCTTCACAGTGCAAGTGTGGTGTTGAAGAATACAGTTGATAAAGTTAGCCCAGCAGTCCAATGGGAGAATAAAGTGAACCGAGCATTCTTGCCTGGTTGGAACCTCATTCCGCACTGCACATTCCTGGATGTGATTATGTCCACACCAAGCTGCCTTAATCCTGCCTTCGAGGGTGCCATGTAAAAACCGGATTACCGTTCACAGTAGAAAGAAGGGCACGCTGATAAACATGCCGAAAACTAAGAACAGTGGAGATGAGAAAAGCAAGGTTGTCTTCCTCCTGTAATTGAATTAATGCAGTAACTTCCGAATCATTCGGGATTCAACGATAAAAAGATGGAGTTCTCACTCAGGAACGGTACAATTCCTGTGCAGCGTTGTTTTCCGATGACCCAAAACGGTGCCCTGATTTAGGTTTTGGGAAGCGCTTTTTAATGCAGGTGCTGTTTTATTTCATGTATGTGGTGAGCTATTTTTGATACTTATAAATGTGCTAATACGAGTAGTTTCTGTTCTTGTGTTCTGGCCAATAATTGAGTGCTGAGCACAGTTGAGGGAGGGCTCAGCAGATACAAATACCTTCTGGCAGAGGCCGGGCTGTTTTATAATACTTGGGTCACTTTGTTACTGGCCAGGTAAGTCCAGCCTGATGCTTCGTATGGTCAGTGAAGTGAGAGGCAGAGGCTGGAGAAGGGAGTTTACTTCTGTAACCTGTGACAGGGAGACAGCAAGCCCCACCAAACTGTCTCAGCTCACCTTGTTCTGGTATTGACAGGTACAAGATACGAACACGTGCAAATCATTCCTCCCTGCAATCAGAGCCGATCACGTTCTCCTGAGTACTTGTCTTGATTCCTTCAACCATCCAAGGTTTCTCATCCAGTCGTTCAACAGGTCTATGACTCGGCACTAGGTCAGATTGTTCTTGTTAGAGGCCTTTCTTAATTTCAAAATGACTGTGGTTCTGCTAAACTAGCCTGCTCCAACCCGGTAAGCTCAACCCAGCGCGAGTAGTGGCGGTCAGGCGAGCATGGCACTGGACAGCTTCGAAACGCAGCTTGGCTCTTTTTCATTAAATGCCATGGTCCTGTCCTTGATCCCAGTACTCGGTGGTTCATCTTTTACCTCATTGATTCGCATCAACCTGTGTCACCTGCTTTGAGGAGGGTGCAGAGAATGGAATGTTCATAGACTATGTTGCAACTTCAGATGGGCTCGCCTGTTATGTTTTTGTTTTTGAGAGTTTTTTTTTGCTACAGGATGCCGTGCACTCGCTAGACAGACACAGAGAGAAAGCGAGAAATCACCTCCCAGGGGGGATGGCCATGCTGCAATCCCTTCTCCATTCTCCTCTCAGGATCTTGGGCACGCACGCACACGCGCCCGGCGTGAGTTTAAGCCACTGGGTCCCGGACTCGAACTGTGGTCAGCTACATCGGAGACCAGTGACAGCCATTACGCTAACTGCTGGTCCCTTGCCTATCATGTTTTGAGAAATATTCCCAGCTGTATGCTTCCTGAGAGAAAGGGGAGGGAAAAAGTGGACATCCTGGGTCCTAGAGTTGGTTTTGCCCAGACCCGTGTGTAAGCTCTTGCCTTTACTTGGTCTGCCAGTGCATGCTTTTTATTGAGTATCTTCTACTAGGTGGAAATAATAAACAAGGTCTGGAAACAGCCCATTTGGTGGTTATTTCTGATGGTCCACTAGAGGGCGCTCTTGTTAAGTGTAATTCCAGTAGGTGGAGGCTGGCCAAGGAAATGGAGTAAGCCGGCAATTTGGTGCTGGTATTGAATCCCTTTAGTGACTTTGCTTTATACAAGGGAGGATGGGGCCAGCAGGTGGCGTGGTGGTTAAGGTGCTGGACTCCCAGATAGCCAACTGTGGTTTAAGCTCCAGACCTGGTGGCTTGCTTTCTCACTTTCCCTTTCTCTGGTCAAATTTAAAAATAATAACAAATAAAGCAACAAGTGAGTAAATAATTTTTTTAAAAAGGTCAGGACAAAATTGTACTGAAATGAGGGCCAGCAGGTGGTGTGGTGGTGGTTAAGGTGCTGGACTCCCACGTGGCACACCACAGTTTGAGTCCCAGACCTGGCACCTTGTTCTCTCTGATGAGCACATATGACCTAAATCATATTTTAAAAATAAGAAATAAATAAATATTTTGTGGAAACAAAGGGGGCCAGTAGGTGATGTGATGGTTGAGGTCCTGGACTCCCACTCAGCTAACCACGCTTTGAGTTCTGGACTTAGTGGCCATATGGGAGTGTCCACTGTCTTAACCACATCACCTGCTGGCCCATTGGATTCTAGTTTTAAGTCCTTAAAAGTATCTTCTGGGGCCGGCAGGTGGTGTGATGGTTAAGGGCCCTGGACCACAATTTGAGTCCTGGATCTGGCAGCTTGCTTTCTCACTCTCCCTCTCTTCCTCTCTCTCTCTTGCTCTGTCCCTCTCTGGTCAAATTAAAATAAGTAAATAAAGTTAAATAAAATAATTCTTTAATAGGGGCTGCCAGGTGGCATGGTGGTTAAGGCGCTGGACTCCCACATGGCTGACCACAGTTTGAGTCCCAGACCTGGCAGCTTGCTTGCTCGCTCTCGCTCTCTCTCTCTCGTCAAATTAAAGAATAAGTAAATAAAATTAAATAAATAAGTCTTTTAAAAAAGTACCTTCTATAGGGGCCAGCAGGGAGTGTGGTGATTAAGGCACTGGATTCCTACATGGCCCACAGCAGTTTAAGCCTCAGATCAAGCAACCTGAAAATCATGCTGGGCAGGCCAGCAGGTGGCACAGTTGTTGGGACACTGGACTCCCATATGACTGACCAGGTTGAGTCTCAGACCTGGCAGCTTGCTTTCCCATTTTCTCTTTTCTCTGGTGAGTGCACATGCCCTATAGCAAGTTAAAATATAAATAAATAAAATGGAATAGTTATTATAAAAAAAGAAAATCATGCTGGGTGCATGTGCATGCACACCCAAACTATCAGGAGGATGGAGAAGAAGGGATTGCTGCATGGCCATCCCCCCTTGGGGAGGATGATTTCTCTCACTTTCTCTCCAGCAAGTACATGTGCCCTATGGCAAAAGCCTTAAAAAAAAAAATTAACAGGAACAGCAGATGGCATAGCAGTTATGTTGCTGGACTCCCATATAGCTGAATACAGTTCGAGTCTTGGACCTGGTAGCTTGAAAATCATGCCAGCTCATGTGCATGTGTGCCCCAGATCCTAGGTCCTAGGAAGAGAATGGAGGAGGAGGGGTTGTGGCGTGGCCATCCCCTTGGGGGGGGGGCAGTGATTTCTCGCTTTCTATCTCTCTCTCTCTCTTGGCAAGAGCACATGCCCTAAGGCAAACACCTAAAAAGAAAAAAGTACCTTCTACAGCGATTTACAGGGATTTAACAAGTACAGTGCATCTCCGGAAAAAACAATTTTGGGGGCAGGGCACCTAACACTAGAAAACAGTGGAAGTAGAAAATGGAGATTAGGGATGAGTCTTTAGTAAACCAAGTGCAGGTGACTGCAGAAACCACCCCGAAGCATAGTTTGATCTGAAGAAACAGACAAGACCTAATTTGATCCTCACTATAACCTTGTAAAGTGAGCAGCCGTGAACCCCACTTACAGGTGGAGGTATTGTCAGAGAATTAAAGTATTAAGCCCATCAGCAGCTGAGAGGTTGGGGTAGATTTAAGTTCTAGGAAGGTGTCATAAAGCAGTCCTTTAGAGCAATGGTCCCCAACCTTTTTGGGACCAGAGACCGGTCTCACGGAAGACAATTTTTCCACAGATCTGGGGTGGGGAGGTGATTTCAGGATGATTCATGTGTATTACATATACTGTGCACGTTATTCCATTAGACCACATAACGAAGCAATTAAACAGCTCACCACGACAGTTTTTGCAGCATCACTGCCTCTGCTCAGCTGCACCTCAGGTCATCAGGCGTTAGATCCTCATGACAGGTGTGCATCCGAGACCCCCCTCGTGCACAGTGCGCAATAGAATTCATGCTCCTGGCAGAATCTAATGCTCGGCCGACCTGACAGGACGTGGCGTTCAGGCGGTGAAATGAGCGATGGGGAATGGCTGCAAATATAGTGTCCCTTGTCCCCCACTGCTTGCCTCCGGCCCAGTTCGAGAGGCCAATGTTAGGGACCCCCTGGTTTAGAGGATGGCTTGGATTGACTGGAAGGTTATGGATCCGGAAATGTAACTTACAGCATTGAGACTGATCTCGTGTCCGGGTAGCTACTTGACTCTGCTTATTGCTCTGACCCTGAGGATAAGGGTGAGCCCCTTCCCTCAGCCCCAGTTTTATCCCAGAACCTAGAACAATGCTCGGCACATAGGTGATTAAGTGCTTGTTAAATGAACCGAAATTCACTTGCAAGTGCACGCACCATATACCAAAAAAATCTCTTAAAAAAAAATGACACTAGGGACCAGCAGTTAGCGTAATGGCTATGTCGCTGGACTTCCATGTAGTTGACTGTGGTTTGTGTCCTGGTCCCGGTGGCTTGAACTCATACTGGGCGCATGTGCGTGCATGCCCAAGATCCCACCACAATCCCTTCTCCATTCTTTTTTTAAATTTATTTATTTATTTTTTTTGGGGGGAGAGGTTTTCGCTACAGGGCGCGTGCGCTCGCCAGACAGACAGAGAAAGACATAGAGACAGAAAGCGAGAAATCACCCCCCAGAGGGGATGGTCACGCCGCGATCCCTTCTCCATTCTCCCCTCGGGATCTTGGACACGCACGCACACACGCCTGGCGTGAGATTTAAGCCCCCCTCCCTTCTCCATTCTTCTGGGATTTTGGGCATATGTGCACATGCACCTGGTGTGAATTTCAAGCTGCTAGGTCCAGGACTTGAACTGCAGTTGACCGTGTTGAAGTCTAGCACCTTAACCACCCTGCCATCTGCTGGCACAGGACTAAATTTGTCAGCCAGATTATTTCATGAGAGGTAGATAAAGCTAAACCAATTATCTGAATTTATAAACTGCAGTTCTGATTCTGGGCACAAACTTCCATATACCTCACGTTCAGTACCTCCAAGTGACTTATTTTCTCTAAAAGCTCATTTTCATTTTTCTTTTTCTTCTTTTTTTTTTAGATTTTTGCTATAGGGCAGGACACGTGTGCTTACCAGAAAAACAAAAAGGGATAAATCACCCTCCGGGGGATGACCATACCATAATCCCTTCATTCTCCTCTCAGGATTTTGGGTATGCACACACATGTGCCCAGCATGAGTTTCAAGCATCCAGTTCCAGGACTTGAACCACAGTGGGCTGTGTGGGAATCCAACGACATAACCATTACTCTATCTGCTGCTCTCTATTTATTTATTTGAGAGATTTTCGCTATAGGGTACGTGTGCTTGCCAGACAGACAGAGAGAGACATAGAGACAGAAAGCGAGAAATCACCCCCCAGGGGGGATGGTCACGCTGCAGTCCCTTCTCCTCCATTCTCCTCTTGGGATCTTGGACACGCACGCACATGCGCCCGGCGTGAGATTTAAGCCACCGGGTCCGGGATGTGAACCACGGTCAACTACATGGGAGTCCAGTGACATAGCCATTACACTAACTGCTGGTTCCCTCTGCTGCTCTCTCTTAAACCAATATTAAAAATAAGTGCCAGGCCAGCTGGTGGTGTGCTGGCTAAGGCTGCTGGATCCCACATGAACAACTTTGTGGTTCGAGACTGAGACTTGGCTTGGAAAACATGCTAGGTGCGTGTGTGTGCATGTGTGTGCCCAAGATCTCAGGAGAATGGAGGAGAGGAGATTGTGACATGACCATTCCTCCTGCCCTGGGTGAGGTGCTTTTCCATTTTCCTTCTCTGGTGAGCTCATGTGTCTTATAACAAAGTTGTTTTGTTTTGTTTTTTAGCATTTCTCAATTTGGCAGGAATTTTTAAAAAGACTTATTTAACTTTATTTATCTACTTTAATGACCAGAGAGGGACAAAGCGAGAGAGAAAGAGAGAAAGTGAGAAAACAAGCCACCAGGTCCCGGACTCTGTTGGCTATGTGGGAGTCCCTTGCTCTGGACCACCATGCCCCCTGCTGGCCCCTCAGCGGGAATAGTTCTAAAAAAATTTATTTTTTTTTTGTTCTAAAATACTTAATTTAAGAGTTGAATGTACAACACTGGATACAGGTGTGGTTCTCCATGATGCCAGTAGCAACTTCAAGAAAGTCAGTTGTCTGACATTAGGTCAACAGTTTTTTGGTACTGAATGGCCCAATGCAGAATCCATGGACTTTGGGACAACATCTGGGCTGAAATCGTGACTTTATACGCTTGCTCAGTGACCTTGGGACACCTCTCTGAATTTGTATGATGGGGAATAAATACCTCAGGCCTCTTGGGCCATGGTGAGTCTTAAATGAGATACTGCAGTATATGCAAAGTGCAAACAGTGCTGGGTGGGGTAGGTGCTGTGAGGGCTCGGATCCCTTTCATCTGGGTCAGGTGCACCACTTGGGTAGTGGAGTGGAGAATAAAGGCCCAAGGTGGTTTTTATTGTGGAAGTTGGGTCATTGCAGATGTGGTAACGACCTGTCTGGGTCATTACTTCTGTAGGCCTGCAAACCCCTCCCGTGAATACGAGTTCACCTGTGAAACGTTCAAAGGTTCAATCCAGCGCAAACGTCTAAGACTGCGCCTGGCAACGGCTCCCAACAAATGCTTTTCTTTTATGAGTGAGCGTCCCGATACAAAGAAACACACTGAACTCATTAGCAAATGAACTCGTCGGATGCTTTCAGGCCGTAGATTTCTCTGGTAGTTCTAGTACTTACACTTTTTGGAGGGTAAAGGAGGAAAGGCACCAAAATCCTCCGTTTCCGAGAGAGTCACATTATCTCCCCTAAAGAGGCTCAAGGAAATAATCCAACTCCGGTTCTGGAGAATCCAGAATCCAATCCGCAGTTTCCCTCTCTCTCTGGCTCCTCGCCGGTCTTCCTCCTCGCGCAGGGCAGAGGCTGAGCAGCCAGTCGCGGGAGTCCACCGGCTCCCGGAGGGCCTGGGCAGAAGCTCAGGAGTAGGGAGCAGAGGGCAAGACGGCCGGCGGCGGACAGGAGCAGGCGCCGCGGGACCACAACTCCCGGCATGCCCTGCGAGCCGCGCCGAACGCGGTTGGCTGGGAGCGCTAGGGCTACTGCCCCCGTCAGCCAATGGGACAGAGGAGAGAGGACTGACCCGTTTTCTAGGGGGCCAATGGCAGTACAGAGGAGGCGGGTGCTTCCTTACTGCTCTACTTGCGTTGAGACGAGTCACATTTAAACGGCCGTGCCGGGAGCGGCGCTGGAGCCGGAGCCGGTCCCGTGTGCTGCCATTGAGGAGCCCCTCCGTGTCCACAGCCCCTACCAGCCAGAGGAGCCTGGGTCCCGCGGCGGAGCTCGGGGATGTGACCGCGGGCGCGTGGACCAGCGCCAACGTCCGGGGCCGGGGGAGGGGGCGTCTCGGGCAGAGACCCTCGGGCTCGGGGCAGCTGAGGCGCCTGGGCCTCCTCCCCACTGTGCCCGCCATCGCCTTCGGGGCCGCGAGGGTCCTTCGTCTCGTACAGCCTCGCCGGTCTTTGGGACACTGGGGTGGTCTCGTTCTCCCAGACCTGGGACACCCGGTTTCCTGAGGCGTGGAGGACCGTCGCCCCGAGTAAGCCACCCGTACCCCGCCCCGGCAGCCTCCCTCTTAGTCGGGAGCCGGCCCTTGCTCCGGATCCCGGCCCCAAGTTTGGCCACCGAGCACCCACCCCATTCAAATCCCCTTCCTGCTATCCGGTGGCCTCTTCTAACCCCCAGGTTGCTCTGGCGAGCCCCCAATGCCCTGACTTCTTCCAATGTCACCTATAGCCCCCTTGGCCTCAGCTCAGCCAGAAACTTTAATGCAAAGGAAAAGTCTGGATTGGTTTCACAGGCCTTTTAAAAAGCGGACATAAAAGTTGCTGGCAAAGCATTCCAGCTCCTCGGAGTGCAGACCAGCTCTCGCTGCAATCTGGGTGACCCATGTCCTGTTCCGGGAGAGCAGGGTAGAGAAGACAGCGGTGGCCGGTTCGGCAGGAAGCGTGTTGGAAGATGAAGAAGCTAAGCTAGGGGGTTGGTGACTTCCACAGGAAAAGTCGTGGAGGAGCATCCAGACACGATCCGCGTTTCCTCCGCGTGGGGGTGAGGTGACTTCAGTACTGCAGACCCTTTTCTGCATCCTGGTGAATGTTTGTGGTTTTGCTTCTTGAAACGAAATGATTACTCAGCCAGAAAAGTACACTTAAAATCAAGAGGCTTTTGGGTAGCATGGCAGTGCCATTGCTTTGATGAACTGCAGGAATAATTGGAACTTGTGTTTACATGTGTCGGCCTGAAATCTGTGCATCCTTTCTTTATGGAAAATTCTATGATTGACCTCAGTTACTGACTTGTGGCGAGGCGCTGAATGTGAAATCCCACGTACTTACTGTGTTTCTTCTAAGCTCACTGACCATTCTGGAAGATCTTGAACCCTCTTCTAAAAAGGGGTGCCTATCAGTTACTTTATGGGGCAGCAGCCTGGAAAAGTTCTTGGGGACCAGAGAAGGCCAAGTCTGCCTGCCCTGCACTTTATCAAAGGAGCAGGGAAGAAGGAGTCATCCAGGCATGTGGGTCCACACTGCAATGTTTTCGTGGAACATGGTGAGTACTTTCAAGATTGCTTGTCTTGTTCTAAGGTCCTCTGAAGGTCTGAAGTACTTTTGAAACTCAGCACTTGCTGGTTGCTGGTTTGCTGGTTTCTTCCGGTGCTTCTTACCGCTTTCGTTACTGTAGTATCTCTTAGTTTCTGGGGAATGTAGAATAAGAAAAAGTTACTTGGTGACTCAGTGTGGCTATATTTAAAGCCTGCTCAACAGGGGCCAATAGGTGGGAGTAGTTAAGGTGCTGAACTCCCACATGGCTGACCAGAGTCCTGGACCTAGTGGCTTGAAACTCATGCCCTGAGAGGAGAGTGGAGGAGAAGGGATTGCTGCATGGCCATCCCCTTTGGGGAGCGATTTCTTGCTTTCTGTCTCTCTCTCTTTTTCTGTCTCTGGCAAGCACATGTGCTCTGTAGCAAAACTCTCTCTCTCAAAAAAAATAATCTGCCCAAGTTGCTATTTAGTTGTGTGTGTTTTAGAATTATTTATTTTATTTATTAATTCATTTATTTTAATTTAACCAGAGACAGATAGAGAAGGAAAGTGGGAAGGCAAGCCACCAGGCCCAGACTTGAACCTTGGTGGGCCATGTGGGAGTGTCCAGCACCTTAACCACCACGCCACCTGCTGGTCCCAGAAGTTGCTTATTCCTTACTTGATTTTGCTTCTAACTCACTTGGACAAGCCACTTTACTGTGTCTAGGCCTCTACTTCGTGAGGAGGCTGGACTTGAGCCGTTTCTTAGGATCGGTGCTTTTTTGATTCTGCTCTAACTGAAGGCACCGGCCCTCCTCCTGATGCTCGTGGGTCTTTTGCTACTTCGTCGACTGAAAGCACGTATCATATTCTCAAAGAGAAGTACTCTCCAAAAGGTGAAGAATCACAGCTCCTGGTTGACCTAATATCCTTGACCTTTTCGATCAGAAGAAGGGCTTGAAAGTATTCAGTGTAAGAGCTGAGAAGTGGGAGAAGTTGCGTGGGGTGAGGAAGCTGCCTCCTTTGTGACTTGAGAATTGACACATCTAGTTATGTTATCTCCGTGGGGAGTAATCCCTTCCCCACTGCTGGAACGTTCATCTTCCTGTCTCCCAGCTTAGGAAGACATTTGGGGCAATAAAAGTTGTCTTTGACATTTTCATGAACATAATGGCATTCGAGTGCTGACACTGTGCATTATATTGTTCATTTTCAGTAATTTTGTGTGAAGTTAAAGCTAAGAGGCATTTTAGGCTGATGTCTGTAACAGAGGCCAGCCAGGAACCAGTGAATTAGGGTCCTCTTTGTACTATTGCAGCCTGACATTCTTCAGACTGTGTCCTTTATATTAATAGTTTAATTTAGGAGCCAGCAGGTGGCATAGTGGTTGAGGCTCTGGACTCCCACATAGCTGACTTCAGTTTGAGTCCCGGACCTGGCGGCTTGCTTTCTCACTTTCTCTCTCTGTTTCTGTCTGTTTCTGGTGAGTGCATGTGCCCTGTAACAAATATAAATAAATAAATAAAATTAAATAATTCTTGGGAAAAAAAATCAATTGAGCCCACCCCTCTATAAGCAAGAAATGTAGTGTGTACAAATGGCATATACTTTGAAATTCATTGACGAGTACCTCCTAGCAAGGCATGACCGCAGTAAACAAAGGCCTCACATGTTGGATGAACTTGCATTTGACAGTTGAGGTGTTACTTTTTTTTTTAGAGAGAGAGATTTTTGTTACAGGACATGTGCACTCATTAGAGACACAGAGTGACAGAGATCGGGGTATTGCTACGCCGCAATCCCTTCTCCTCCATTCTCCTCTTGGGATTTTGGGTGCGCACACATATGCACCCGGCATGTTTCAAACCACTGGGTCTAGGACTCAAACTACATTCAGCCATGTGCGAGGCCAGTGCCACAACCACTGCATCGCCTGGCTGGCCCCAGGCTTTGCCTTCTCCCAGGAGAGTATCCTCATTTTAATAAATCTGTGTACATGGATTTTACTTTGCCTTGAAACATTAGTTCTATTTTAGCATTAGTTTTAGGCAGGCAAATATGTTGATATAATATTTGCCAACTTTCAGGATTTAAAAAGTGAATTATTGGGAACCAGCAGTTAGCTTAATGGCTATGTTGCTGGACTCCCACGTAGTCGACCGCAGTTCACGTTCTGGACCCGGTGTCTTAAAGCTCATGCCGGGCGCATGTGCGTGCGTGCCCAAGATCCCGAGAGGAGAATGGAGGAGAAGGGATTGCGGCGTGGTCATCCCCCCTGGGGGGGGTGATTTCTCGCTTTCTGTCTCTATGTCTCTCTCTGTCTGGTGAGCGCACGCGCCCTATAGCAAAAAAAAAAAAAAATACCTCTCAAAAAAAAAAAAAGTGAATTATTGGGCTAGTAGATGGTGTAATGGTTATGTTGCCGGACCCCCACATGGCTGACCAAGTCCCGGACCCAGGGAATTCAAACTCAGGCCAGGCGCATGTGCATGCGTGCCCAAGATCCCAGGAGAACAGATGAGAAAGGACTGCGGCACGGCCATCCCCCCTGGGGAGGTGATTTCTCACTTTGCGTCTCTCTGTCTCTCTCTGTCTCTCTGGCGAGTGCACAGGCCCTATAGCAAAAATCTCTCCAAAAACAAAAGTAAATTATCAATATTTATATTTTAACTAGCCATGATCATGTAGTCTTAAAAATAGGTATGGACTTTTTGGAGAGCTTTTGACCAAGTTTATCAAAATTTAAAATGTACATATCAATTACCAAATAATCTCACTTTCCACAAACTATCAGTAGTAAAGAACAGTGTAATTCCCTGTATGTCTGACAGTCATTTAGGCTGCTACAGGAGATTGAGAAGTTAAAACTGTTTTGTTTGTTTTAAAGATTTTTGCTATATGGTATGTTCACTCTCCAGAGAGACAGTGAGAGGTCATCTCCAACGCCCCCTCTCCATTTTCCTCCTGGGATTTTAGGCATGCATGCCCATGAGCCCGGTGTAAGCTGCCAGGTCAAACTGAGTTTGGCTCTGTGGGAGTCTAGTTAGTGCCTTAACCATCACACCACCTGCTGGCCCCAAAACTTTTTTCATGTTAATACAGTATTAAGATCTTTTTTTGTTTTGAAGAATTATTTAATTTTACTTATTCATTCATTTATTTTCATTTGACCAGCAAGACACAGAGAGAGTGAGAAAGCAAGCCTTCAGGTCCAGGACTCGAACCGTGGTCAGCCACGTGGGAGTGTCCAGTGCCTTCACCAGTATACCACCTGCTGGCCCCCAGTACTAAGATCTTTTTTGTCATCTTCACTGTGTCGACATTGATGGTGTGTATATATCACCGGGTTTCAATGTGAATCAGGCAGTGACACCTCACTGTACCCATAGCCACTGTATTCTTCATGGCATGCACATGCAGCCAAAAAAACCCCAAAAGATAAATAAATTAGCTTTTCACTAAAGAATATCCTTGATAAGTACCCATATTTATTATCTTTATTAAGTCTTGACTTTGGTATATGTCTTTTTAGTATTTTGTGTGATGAATGGGAAGAATGTGTAAAGCACACCTCCTACGCACTGAAGTATGATGGTTATCCTTTATTTCCTTGGGAGAGAGATTTTTTGCAGTAGGGCATGTGTGTCCGCCAGAGAGACAAAGAGAGACAGAGAGACAGAAAGCAAGAGATCACTCCTCAGAGGGGATGGCCACACCGCAGTCTCTTCTCCATTGTCTTCTAGGGATTTTGGGCACGCACGCACACGCACCCAGCATGAGTTTTAAGCCTCCAACCCGGGTCTCTAACCACAGTCGACTACATGGGAGTCCAGTGATGCAAACTTTACACCCATCTGCTGGTCCTGTGGTGGTTATATTTAGGAAGATACTTGGGCGGGTGTTTGAGTTGCAGACTAAACTAGCTGCTTTTTTTCATGTTCTACCATTTTTTGAAACTATGATTGATAGACTGTGGATATTCACTAAAAGAAATGTATGAAGGAATCTTTCAAGGGAGACAACTGGTATTTGTTGCAAATGATAAAATTTTAACTTTCCAACAAAAATTAGTATTTTGGAAAACTTAGATCTACCACTGATATAGTAATTGGTGATAATGTTTACAGATGTGGTGTTTTGATATCTTATTGTGAAACATGTTGTTCAAAGATCTGCTTAAATTAGTGAACTAGGATTTTCTACATGATCAATATGTGCTATAAAATGACGTGCAGACAATCAACATGTGATTTAAATCATGCACAGGTAAAAAGAGCCATTCCAACTGCAAGATGGACCAGTAGATTGCTTACTTTATTTATGATAGAGCACATGCATGCACATGTGAGAGGGTGAGGGGGCTGGGGTGAGGATCACCCTCCACAGGTTTGGTCAGACAGAGATCCCCTTCCTACACTGCCCCAGACTGTTGGATCTCAGGCACTTGGGCACCTGCCTGGTGTGGTTCAGGCTGGGAGTTCAAACCCTAGTGGCAGTATGGGATCCAGCTTCTCGAACAGCACAATACCACAGAGCCCTCTGAAGACTTCAGTGTAACAGCATACAAAAGTTCACTGATACAGTTTCAAATTCTCCCTGACAGCCAGCCTTTGAGAAGCTACTGCTTCATGGAATTTTGTTGTAACATTAAAAAAGAATATCTGCAGTGATCTAGAAAGTCTACTTTTGGGGTCCTGGCAGATGGCATGGTGGTTAAGGGCCCTGAACTCCCACATGATCAGCCATGGTTCAAGCCCCAAACCTGGCAGAGAGAGAGTGAAAGAGAAAGTGAGAAAGCAAACTGCCAGGTCCGGGACTCAAACTATGGTTAGCCACAGTTTCACATATAAAATATTTTTCACTCCAGAAGTCGGCTTTTTTCCCCCAGAGATATTTGCTATAGGGCACATTCACTTGCCAGAGAGACAGAGAGCAAGTGAGAAACCACCCCTCCCTTCTCCTCCATTTTCCTCTCAGGATTTTGGACACGCATGTACACATTCCCGGCGTGAGTTTAAGCTGCTG